ATTCAAAGGAAATCAACTAACCCTTTCTTGAACATCTTCGTCAGTACCCCGGTCAGATTCATCACCTGTGTATGTCCTGTCTGTTTGCTGAGTGTGGTACTCCGGGAGTTGATCTTCCGAGAAGGATGTGCTTGACTTTGTTGGCACAGCTGGTGCAGTGATATATGCGCGGTATGCCTCCGCTTGCGCAGTAACATTCACCGTGTCCTATAAAAAATTACATGAGCATCATTATGTATTATGTAACGTATTGTACCCATCAACATACTTTGAATACGTCTTTTAGTTCAGTTTTTTCTTGCAACGTCCTTTAGCGAAAAAATATTCTCTGCATTCGTTTACCATTGTCTTGCCCGTGCACGTCTGAAACGACGAATATCAGTATACATGTCATAAAAGTCTAGGAATAATATTCACGTACCTCCAGCCATTTCAAATAGTTTTGAGCAAATGCTCGAACACAAGCTGGAACAACGAATAACACACAAATTTGATCCAAACTTTTAACAAACACTTTGAAGAGTTGTTCAAAACCCAGCCCAGTCTCCAACTTAGCAATATACTTGACAAAGGCACTTAGTGACCACTGTAAGGCAGAGACTCTCTTAAAAAATTCGTGAATGCAAAGTGCATTCTTCTCTATCTGATACTTGAAGAATTTGGTTGCTTCTAGTCGTGGTTCTCTGATAATATTGGACATGGCAGTGTCAAGGATGAAAACGCGTTAGTACTAGGGATAGTCTATCGCGTTTTAATGTTGTACGAACTTTTTGATTTCTATGGCCAACATGATAATCAGATGATCATCTATTACGAACTTGTATTTTGCCCACGCAACTTGCGCCTGTCAACCTGACGGCAAGTTGTGTCTGGAAGTGCAAGGGGAGATTATCATGCCTGTCAACTTGACGGTGACCTCCTCTTTGCAGTCGCCTACCACATTCATGCCTGCCAACTTGACGGTGATATGGTAGAGGTACACTCCCCTGCCATTAATCACCGGACGTCAATCAATTTTCGATATGATCGGCGAACGCAAGAAATCATTAAAAATTTTTTTTTGTGCCATTATTGATGACACATTGTATAAAATTTACATTGTCGAGATGAACAAAAGCTGGGCTTTTAAAATAGATATTTTTTTTTACATTTGTGCTTGAAATTCTTTCGCAATGGCACAAAAATGTAAAGAGTTATCAGAAAGTGAACGTTTTCAGATAATAGGTGCTTGGAAATGTGGTTCTTCACCTTCCGCCATTGTAAAAACATTTAATATACCAAAATCAACGGTTCATGATGTTATTAACTATTACAAAAAAACTAATCAAGTAAAGCCTTTTGCTCGAAAAGGACAACCAGCTAAACTAACTGACCACGATACCTGCCACTTATTACAAATTATTAAAAAAGATCGAAAAATTACACTAAGTGTTTTATGTAATGAATTTATACAATCAACATTAACTGAAGTCAACATGCATACATTGCAATGAAAGTTACACGAAATAGGTTATTATGCTCAAGTTGGCAAGCAAAAACCATTTGTTAAAGAAAAAAATAGACTTATCCATAAAAATTGGGCAATCGAACAGTTAAATTGAACTTCTGAGCAGAATTTTATTATTTGGAGTGACAAATCTTGCTTCAAAGTATTTGAAGATGACGGTCGTAGCTATGTTTGGCAATTACTGAAAGAAAAATATGATGTAGATTGCCTTGTGCCAACTTTTAAATCAGATAGAAAAGGGATTATAGTTTGGAGATGTTTTACCATGAGTGGCTTAGGTCCATTAGTGAAAATTAGTGGATGTCAAACTGCAAAAAATTATATAGAAGTTCTTAATAATAGTTTATTATTATTCTTAGAAACCCTTTCAAAACAAAATAATTATATATTTCAAGATAACAACTGCTCAATACATTAAGCACATATCATAACAAAATGGAAAGAAGAAAAAAATATTACTTGCATTTCATGGCCCTCTCAAAGTCTGGATCTCAATCCCATTGAACATCTTTGGGATAAGTTAGAATGCCGAGTCCATAGGAGAAATCCGTTACTATCTAGTTAAGAAGAATTATTTCTTTTTTTGTTAGAAGAGTGATCTTAGATAAATAAATTAACTTATCGCAATTTAGTAGAAAGTATGTCTTGTCATGTTAAGGCTATTAAAACTTCAAATGGCAATCCCATGAAATATTAAGTGTATAAATAAATAGAACACATGTTTAGTGCCTAAATAAAAATTTTTTTCGATTAAAAATTATGCAAGTTTTTTAAAAATGTGAAAAAAAATTTCATACCTTTGCCGATTACTTCTGAATTTGATAAACATCTGGTGATTAATAGCAGGGGAGTGTACACTGTTTTTTTTTTTAGCTTCTCTTCTCCTGATAAAATTTACGTGAACCAACTAAGAATTAATAGAATGATCTTCTACAGAAATAAGATATGATCAACATATTGTTATTAAAGAATTCAAGCTTTAAAAATCTTTATAAAAAGAAATTACACAGTTTGATAAATTTTTTTACTTGGTTAAATATTAACGATAATTGGAATATCTTGAAATCGATAAAATATAGGTATTTCAAATACTGATTAGTTAAGATCATATGAGATGCAATAATAATAACATTACTATTATAAAAATTGATCAACAAAAGAAGCATTCACTTCAATTTGTATATAAATGATTTTTTTCTAGTAACCTAGTAGTAAACAATTGTCATGGTGATTTTGCTTTTATTTTGTTATACAGTGATGTTTATAAGAAATAACAATTATAAATTTGATTATAACTTTATAATTTTTTTTTTTTTGCCTCTAATCAGACTACAAAAGTTGTGTTTATTCATCCAATTTTGAAAAACAGTAGTACAATATACATGATACTATATTAAAGCTAAACTATCTTATAATTGCAGAACACCCGTCAATGAATTTAGATTTGTACGTGATTCTTGAATCTTTAATACAAGACCACTGTGTTGCCCATATGATTTAGCTATTTACTAATTATTTTACTACAAGGGAGTAGGTTCATTAAGTTATTACTGTGTGATATTAACTATTTTAGACTTTCTAAATCTAAACTCTCTAGATATGATTATCGGAAATAAAGAAGTTGTTTCCTTTCAAAACTAGATATCAAAGATTATACATTGAAAGATCTCAGTCAGCCTACATTCAGACTGTCACCCCAAATAACCCTGTGGTCCTAAGAGATAAAAAAATTTTTATTTTTTAAGAAAAGAAAAGAGAAATAAAAAATGAGTAATTGAAAAGTTTGTTTTCATAAATAAAAACCCTCCAATATCAATTTTGGTCCATTGAAATAAATCCTTTACCACCACTTGCAGCTGAGCAAACCATTTAATTTCCACTATTTCATTGTTGACCAAGAATGTTCAAGGTACTTATAACAAGTCTTATACCCATAAAAAATTATTGCTTGAAACAAGACTTATAATATACCTTAAGAAATTATTGCTTGATGCCTTTTCAGGATAATCAACAATGAAGGAAGCTTGTTACTGAATTGGAATAAAACTTTTTTTGATCTTGAAGAGAAAAGAAACCAGTCCAAGAGGGAAGAGGGAGCATTATAGCACATCTTGACAAAAAGGACACCTCGTTACCTTGCTCTTTTTACTATAACCAATTGCATCATCGGGTTTTATGTTGTACGAAATAGGCATGTGGGAGTTACATATCTTGTTTACATTTCTTGCTATGTATAGATCAACCAGTCCAAAATTCGAGCCAATCACCATTCAAGGATTCTGGTGTAACCAAAAATTCAGGGTCAAGTTGAGGTAGGCAAAATCCCCCAGAAAAACCAGAAAAAAAAGTTTACACGCTTGAAAAGATAGGAGAGAGGCTTGAGGAAAATGAGAGAAGAGTTCCAGAAACCTATGTCAGTCTTTTCTAGAGTCTTGAATCTCTGGAGGAAAAGAAGAAGTACTTTTTCTACAGGTTTTTTTTCCTAACAAAAATTTCTTGCCTTTAACTTTGTAAATAGAAGTTTCTTATATTTACTTGCAAAAATATAAGAAGTTTATATCAAAGAGAGAAAGAAACAAGTGGAGGAGATTATGCTTCTTGATATGTGTATTGTTAATGAAAGTGTATAGACTTTATTACAAAGAAATATAAAAATTTCCTTGAAACGTCTGTTTTTGTGTTGGCAAAGGAATCAGCGGAAAGAGTTTTTTTTTTTTATTATAACTTTATAATTATTAATTTAAATTATATAAAATTATATATATACAGTATATTTTTTAATATCTTGAAAACAAGATTGTTATAAGGTACTTTAATTGATTTATTATTTTTTTTAATTAAATTACAAAACTTTATATATAAAATTATATATAAAAACTGGTCAGAAAATAAAAAAAAATTTTTTAAATTTTTAAATATTACAAATATTTTTTTTACAAAACTATTTTATTAACTAATTTAATAAAATTTAAATTTTTTATAGCAACTCTTTCCTGTACATAACTTTTTCTTAAAAATTTCCTTTTATAGTAATTTTTTTCCAAAATTAAAAAAACAAATATTTTTTTCATCTTTCAATACCCAAAAGTCCTTTATACAGTGGATCATCAAAAAGGTCAGGCCAATTTATTTTTTTAAAATTTTTTAATATATATATAATACTGGTTTTTTTCTATTATTTACATTAAATAAATTTGTGATTTGATTATAAACACAATAGTTATAAATATGGGTAAATATTTGTTCTTGGATCAGTATAGCGTGATCTTATATGGACATGCTCAAGGTGATACAAGTTAGACTATTGTCAGCAGGCTAGGATGTAGAAAAAGTATGGTTAATGACACCATTAAACACTCTAAAAAAACTGGAACAGTTATTTTGAATAAATCATCAGACAGACCCCCTGCTTCTTACCTCTCTTGATCAAACCCAATTCAAGGATCTTATCACGAACAACGAAGAAAATAATTGCTGTTTGTCTGTCACAAAAATTAGAAATGTCTGGTTAACACATACTAAAAAAACTATCTTTACCATCACTATTAGATGGAACCTAAAAAAAATAAGACTTCGATTTGCAAGCTTCACCTGAAACTGTATATCTCTGAAACGAATCATGAAAAATGTTTAGAATTCGTCCTTCAACATAAACACTGGAAATCCTGGCAATGGAAAAGAATTTTATTCTCAGACAAATTCACATTTACCCTATTCCAACGTAGTGATCGAATTTGGCGAGAAACAAATGAAGAACTTAAGCTATCTTGTATTTCTGCTTTGGTGAAACACAGTCCAAGCCTAATATTCTGGGGTGCTTCACTTATGGTGGCTTAGGTCCTATTGTTCCTCTCTATGGATCAGTTACTGGTGCTGCACATGCTAAAACCATTAAAAAATATGTCATACCCACCATGCAAAAATTTTTTTCATGCCGTGGTATTTTTTAGGAGAATAATGCAATGCCACATAAGTCAAAAGTCACCACAGCCATTTGCAAAGCTCACAGAATCAAAAAATTATTATGGCCCCTCCAAAGCCCCAGCCTGAATCCTATAGAGAATTTATGGCATGAAATGAAGAGGCAATTCGTAAAAAATTATCTGTCCTGTCAAACTTTAAAAAATTAAAAAAATATGTGAAACATGCATGGAGAGATCTTTCATTCAAATATTATCAAAGACTAATTAACA